TGTAGGGGGTGCACAGAGGTGCACGTGCACCCCCTGTCAGGCTGCGTTTCCTGTTTAGGTGGCAGACAGGGGCAGGCAGGAGCATTGGTGCCCACCCTGTGAGTGCCGGCCAGGGAGCAGGGCCGCCAACAAAAGTGGCCACGGGACTTTTTTTGGTGAGTGCGATCAGTGAGATTGGCTGCCGAGGGACACCGCCTGTGCGCCCCCCCCCCCCCCCCCCCCCCCAAAGCTCCAATGCATTGCATCTTAACTACACCTATTGTTTCAGGTCATGACTTCATGACGGGCTCAGTCTCCCTGCTTTACACACATTTTTTTTTTTAACCCTGCTTCCAAAACTAACAAAGATGTGAACTGTAATCTTAGATTTGTGATGTATATGCTTGTTCAGTAGAAACTGAATATCAGCACCTCACTTTTACATGTCATAGGTCACTCAATATTTGTGTTCTGTGACTTGTCACTGTACAGGCCTACAAAGAGGGCATGGCCTCTCTTTCATAATGAGTTGGCAGTCTAAGAGGCAACCAAGTAATTATTTTTGGTCACTACTAGTGGCGACTGATCTAGAATTAAAAGGTTTTTGTCTTGCTAATAGTCTTCTGGACCACTTTCTTTAAACTTATTGTGCTACTTTATTTAGGAGGAAGATGCAGAAGTGGAAGGAATACAATATAAGATGCTAAGAACATTTCATCATGGGATCAGAGTTGATGCCATAGCATGGAGTCCAGAAACCAGACTCAATTCTTTACCTCCCCAGATAAGGTATTCTGAAAAGCACGTGAGTACAAGAACACCATGACTTGAAGAAAGGCTGAAAGAACTAGGGTTTTTTAGTATGGAGAAAAGATGACTGAGGGAGTGGGGTTTGATAACAATCTGCATGTACAAGGAGGGTGATAGTAGTATTGCTGCCCCCACCATGTCAAAAATCACGGGGCAAGCTCTTTTAAAATCTAGAGATTTGTCATGTAAATCATGAGATGCTATTTTTGAAGTATGGGGGGCTATAGGGGTGTGTGGGGTTTGCAGCCCAGAGAGAGGGAGAGTTCCTGCACACCCTGGCAGGATGTGGGGTACCGTGAATGAGGTTGAGGGTGGGGGCACAGCAACCACCCGCAGGCAGAGGCATGGTGGTGGCAAGGGGGGAGCTCCTGCAGGTAGCCACAGCAGTGTTGAAGGGGGAGGAGGGAGGTGGCAAGTGCTGACCACCGACAGATGCTATCAGAGGCGGGAGGGGGATGGTGAGTGGCAGCAGCGGCGCTTCTTTCAGGGGTTGCACTGCCAATCTTGGGGTATATGTGCACCCCCTATGCATCACCAGTGTGGGGTACTGAGGAGTGAGAGGCAGCAATAGGGCTGGGAAGCTATGGCTTGGCAGGGAAGGGCAGACGCACATAGAGACGCAGCACCCAGCCAGTAAGAGAAAGGGTAGGGGGGACAGATCAAGGCCTCCATGGTGTGGGAGGGAGTGGGATGGGCTGGGGTGAATGGGACCCCAGGGCCAGGGCAGGTTTTCCAGAGCAATGGGGAGGAGAGGGGGATGGCTGCTCGCAGCTGCGCCCACTTCCCAGGGGAGGAATGGGGAGCACGTGCTTCCTGCTGCCTTTGCCCCAGGAGCTCAGCCACGTGGCTCCAGTGTGCTTCCTGCTATCAGGCAGGCAGGGGACGCACTATGCAGCCAGCACTCCTCGCATCCCCTGCCCTCCCGGCAGGCAGTGACAGCATCATGTAGCTGAACTCCCCGGACAAGGACAGCAGGGCGCAGAGTCCGGAGCCTGCAGCGGGCAGCCTGCCTCTGCCCTGTGGGGGGCATACATCTCCCCTGGTGTGTGCAGCTGCAGGGAGCTGTGCCCTCTGCTCCATCCCCACCCCCATGCCTCTGGACAACCTGCCCTGGCCGCAGAACCCTATTTCATCCCAGCCTTTGCTCCTGCCCCAATCCTTCCCTCACCATGGGATCCTCAGTCTGCCTGTGCCCCTTCCTCCCCACAGATTTACCATCTGGGAAAATCTGGAGACTTTTTAGGGTTTGATGAGGAGATCATGAGTCAGAGTTATTTTGACTTAGAAATCGCAAGTCTTGCAATATTTTTGTGACCGTTGGCATTACTGTGATGAAACTCTTCTCTGTGGTCATGGTAGGCAGGACTAGGTGTAATGACCTCAAGCTGCATGAAAGGAAATTTGGGTTGTAAGTTAGGAAGAACTTTCTCACCTATGAGGGGTTTTAAACCTAAGAACAGGCTATCCGTAAGTTGTGGAATCTCTATCCATGGAACTTTTTCAAGAAATAAGTTAGACAGACACTTGACCTGCATGGTTTAGTCAAGTATGATCTTGCCTTGAGCAGGGGACTGGACTACATTCCCCCCCCCCCCCCCCGAGGTTCTCTTCCAGCCCTACTTTCTTAAGATTCTTTGAAATGTACTTGTATGGCCAAAATATTTAGGAGGGGGTTGCAATTGAACTCTCTTCTGATTGATGTGTATTCAAAAAACAACTAATTTTATTTTATCACTGTAAAGGTTATTATTGCCAAACAGTAGTGATAAGTGTTAGAAGTGTGTGTGCACATGCACACGCAGGCATAATAATATGAATTTGTTCTTCTAAAAACATAAAGTGCAATGTAAGCCTGTTGGCCATTTATCAGACTTCCATCCTAACTCAGTGATGTAAAATAACTAAATAAAGCGTTTTTCTGTTTATCTAATCCTTGTAGGTTTTGTACTGCAGCTGCTGATAGGAAGTTAAGGCTGTTCACTTCAGACCTCCAGGAGAAGAATGAATATAAGGTAAGAAAAAATTATTTCTAATTAGGATTGAATTAGATGTTGTTAGACTCGAAAGGGTCCACTCCTATGGTTAGGGCCACTCCTATGGTTAGGGGCTTATAGGACAAGCCCTATGAAGAGAGACGGAGGGGCCTGGACCACTTTAGCCTCTGCAAGAGAAGGCTGAGAGGTGATTTTGTGGCTGCCTACAAATTCATTAGGGGAACAAAGCAAGGGATTGGAGATGCTCTTTTCAACAGGGGGCCTCTTGGGGGTAACAAGGAACAGCGGTCACAAACTGACAGAGAGCAGATTTAGGCTAGATATCAGGAAAAATCTCTTCGCAGTAAGGGTGGCCAAAATTTGGAATGGGCTTGCAAGGGAGGTGGTGCTCTCTCTTATCTTGAGCATCTTTAAGAGAGGGATGGATAGGCATCTGGCTGGGTCACCTGACCTCAGCACTCTTTCCTGCCTAGGCAGGGGGTCAGACTCTGATCTGTTGAGATCCTTTCCGACCCTAGCGTCTGTGAATTGTGTGCATCTTGTTTGCTTTAGGTGAGTTTTTAGTCTTTGGCTGTTTTACCTCCCTAACGTGCCTAAAGCGGGAGAAGCTAACTGTAACTGCATGAGGGAGATGATCTATTATCATTTGCAAAATTATTCCTGTTCTACCTCCAGCAAGCATTTGTTCAACACATTAAATAAGATAATTGTATTGTTTGCTTTTAGCAAACAATTTATAAGCGTGTTATTCTTATTGTATTGCTTTAGTGACATCTGTAAATAAATGACAGACACTACTACTGCTATATTAAATACAGTGAGTGCATAGGGCTTATTCCAGCTTTGTACCTTTTTAATAGAAATAATGACTGCATAACTGAATTTAATACAGCTCTACAGCAGCAAGTAGGTATTTGTGTTGGGTCTAAAACTGCTTTTATGCTTCTCCTTTAATCTATTTCTCTGAACTAAACATACCGAGTTCCTTTAATCTTTCCTTGTGTGGCTTGCATTCTAATCCCCTTACTATTTTTGTTGCTTGCCTTTTTGGATCTTCTCCAGTTTCTCAACACTTTGGGGAGAAAAATGCAGAGCCCGGAACTGCTACAGAGGCCTAACCAGGCCTGAGTAAAATTGTATCATCTCTTGTGTCTGTCATCCTCTAATTCCGTTAACGCATCCCAAAATGGCATTTGCTTTTTGGTGACTGCATCCTGCTGCTTGCTCATACTGAGCCTGGGGCTTTCCCTCGTGTGGGGCAGTATTAAAAGCCTTTGTAAAATCTAAGTCTCTTGTGTCTACTGCATTCATTTTATCCACTGAATATACTGTTAAACTGAGAAACCAAATGAAACTGTGATGGTATTGTCAGTTGAATTTTATAAACAAACCAGAGTTAGATTCTATAAGTAATGTAATTGGCTGACAAGCAGTTTCTGTTTACTCTCCACCTCCCCTTCTTCCCCAAAACAAACACACAAATATCAGCTATTTTTGGTGTTCGTGCTGGGGGGGTGGGGAGGGGGGAACCTGAAACGGATAGATTTCAACTTGATAAGAAAATGTAGTCCTCTTATTCTAATAGCAGCTACAAACGAAGTATTTTTAACTGCTTCATTCTGAATGTTGTCATAAACCTACTAAAATTCATAGAAAGTGAAATAAAGAGTTCACACTGACATTAATGTGGACTCTTTCAGTGAGACTCAATGTTCATGTGAAATGCTTCATTCTACATGAGAAACAACCCCATATTTTTCCTCTTAGTAATTGTACCATATTTTCTCAATTATAAGATGAGGCTTTTTCCTGCAATCAGCTTGGGGGCTAGGGCCGAAGGTCTTAGTCTTACATTTGCATACATACTTTAAGTAAACCTTGTTAATGATAGAAAATGTATTTAAACTGACACCAAAAGCAGTATGTGCTCAGTAATAGAAATAAACTAGGAAGTTGATCAACTGCAGCTAACACTGAGCATGACTATAGAACACATGGCCCATGAGCACACATGACTACTTGATGAACTCTTCCAGGATTATCCCTGGGATAGAAGTTAGGCTAATTGGCCTATAGTTGCCCAGGTCCCCTCTTCTCCACTTCTTGAAGATGGGCACAACATTGCCCCTCTTCCAGTCTTCAGGGACCTCTCCTGAGCACTATGAGTTTTGGAAGAGTTTCTTCAGCGGTCCTGCAATGACTTCAGCCAGCTTCTTCAGCAGTCTCAGATGAAGTTCATCCAGTCCTGCTGACTTAAAAGTGTTTAACTTTTCTAACTGATCATGTACCAGCTCAGTGTGAACAATAGGAAGGTGGTCATTCCCACCATGCCCATTCTGAACCTTATCTAGCATGGGTTTTTCCCTCTTAATCCAATGAAATACCCAGGCAAAGTAGTTATTCAGGAGTTCACTTTTCTCCTGAGCATTGGTAACTAGCTATCCTGAGGTTAAGCGATGGCCCCACGTTGTCCTCATGTTCCCTACACACCTAAAGAAGGACTTCTTATTGTCCTTGATTTTTGTCGCTAATTTTAAATTCAGTCACCGCCTTAGCCTTTCTAATATGCTCCCTACAAGTGCGGGCTGTTGTTGTATAGTCTCCTTGGGAGCTGTCCCAAGCTTCCATTGTTTGTATGCCTCTTTCTTCTTTTTCAAGAGAACCCATGATATCCCTATTAAGCCAAGAGGCTTTACCAGCCCTTCTGCTACCTTTTCTCTGCATGGGAATGGACTTTTGTGCTTTGAGGATCATGTTCTTCAGGAACAACCACTCTTCATGCATTCTTTTCACCTTTTAGTCCCTGGTCCCACAGCGCTTCCCCTACTATTGCCCTAAGCCTGTTGAAATTTGCTTATTTGAAATCCAAAACTTCAGCCCTAGTAGCTGATCTGCCTGCCTTGCAACGGGCAGTGAATGTGATTTGTTTTTTTGGTTGCTGTCACCCAGGCTACCCTCTATATTCAAGTTGCTCAGCAGATTATCTCCTTTGGCCAAGACCAAGTCTAGGAGAACATTACCTCTGGTTGGCCCGTGCACTTCCTGAGTCAGGTAGAGCTCTTCAATACAGGTCAGGAAGCAACATGACGGATCTGACTTCTCTTGGGAGGAACACTCAGCTGTCTGGGTAATTGAAGTCACCCATGATGACCATGTCCCGTACACGTGCGGCCTCTGCCAGTTCTTGAGAGAACTCCAGATCGAACTCTTTCCTGTGGTTTGGTGGTCTGTAGTATATACCTAGTTAGGTCCTCTCACTGCGCCCCCCCCTCCTAGTTTAGCCCAGAGGGTTTTGAGCCACTCTTCTTTGGAGCCGCTGTTGGCCTCCAAGGAGGTGTTGCTCTCTATGTGAAGGAGCAGTACACCTCTACCTTTCTTCCCTACTTGGTCCCTTCTGTGCAGGGTGTAGCCCTCTCTGGCTATGTTCCAGTCATGTCAGGAGTCCCACCAGGTCTCCATAATCCCTACTAGATCATAATGCCCACTGGAGAGTAGGAGACCTGGTGGGACTCCTGCTTGTTTCCCCATTCTCCTGGCATTAGTTAGTGTACAAGTACCTGAGTCCTCCAATTGAGACCCTCCATTTCCTGTCACACTGAGGGAGAACCATTCCCTCAACTCTTGCAAGCGTGGCTGTCCTAGTGTCTCCAACTTTGGAGCTTTCCTGTGTGCCAGTCCCTGGTCATGCTCCAGTGAGTGTTTCCCCATCCCCTGGCAATCTTAGTTTAAAGCCCTAGCTAGAAGATCGGCCATCCTGGCCAACGGGTCCTTTGTTGCAGGTATCTGAAGTACACACAAATACTAAGCAGTGCTGAGCTATAGAAACGCCACAGCTTGAAAATATTCCTTATGACTGAGAGGTGAAAACCACAGTTTTAAGTATGCTGTGGTTTTTGCCTCTAGTCTGAGTAGCAGCAAGCTACTGGGCTAACAGGGCCCCTCCACCAATCATCAGTGGGAGGCAAAAACTATGGCATGTTTAAAACTGTAGTTTTCAACTCTCTGCCAATTGGGCAAGCAGCAAAGCTGCTCCACCAGTTGGTGGTGGGAGGGGCACAGGCCAAACTGCAAGATTAAAGGAGCTGCTGCACAGTGCACTTCTGACATGAATTCCGCTGGTCCCTATCTATGTGGTAAATCATGAGCCTTTTGGCTTTGGACTAATGTATAAGTAGGTACAAAAGTGCTGCTTAAGGGTGTTTAATGGCATACCTGTGCCAGAACTTACAGCAGTTTCAAAAAAGGTAAATTGCATCAATTCTGGATGAATCAAGTCTATGGGTACTATAGTAAATTGCTTATATGCAGATGAATAGAGGCATGTTTTTTTCAAGGTTAGTGTTTTTTCAAATTTGCCCATCACTTTCATGTGCTCGGAGACAGCAGCGTCTGACAGTAAGTGGGGAAGAAAGGGGCTGCGGGAGGAAGAAGTTGTGGGGTGATGTTACTTGAAATATCGATTGCTTAAATCACAAGCAAAACCTTAAAAGAGGGGGATAAAGCAAAATGCCGCGTTTATTGATTATATGAGGCGGATACGTGATCTTAAGCACACCACTCATGCAAACATACACACATCACTATGAACTTTGTCATAAATAAACACACATACACAAAACAACTACTCCATCCAGCAGTTATAGTTACCAGCAGCAGTTGCTCAATATTAGCACTGGGTAGCCAGCCCAAGCCTATTGAGGTGGTGATGAAGATTGAAGCTGGAGCGGGGTGAACAGACGTGCCTGTGCTCTGAAGAAAGCAGCAGCAATCAAGATGGCTTACCCAACCTGGCATTACTTAGATCCTTCCTCTTATAGGAGTTGCCAGTCTTTGTTCAGCATTTTGGGGTTTTTCCACATGGTCTCTGTTTTCGAAGTTGTTTCTCATCCATCTTCTGATTGTCTCAACTCGGTCGTGTCAGTTGTAAAAGTTGGTATCTCAGCCTTGAAGTGTCCTTGCGGCCCACCTGGCAGAATATGCAGCACTCCTTTCCCTCATTATCTCCTTTGTGTGCCAGGACTCAAGCAGATTCTTCATCCATCCATTAATTAGTTCACTGACTGGTAATTTACATGCTGGCACCTTGTTCCTTACACAAACAATTAAATATGCCCATTCTCTTACTATTCACCCTTTCACATAACCCCCTCTTATATGCAGGGCCATGCAAAGTTCATTCATTCATGTCAAGCAAAAAGGCAAATACAAAATTGAGTTTAGCTGAAATACAGAAATAAAGGTTTGTCAATTAATTGAGCCACTTATGAAATGTAGAAATAAAGGTTTATCAGTTCAACGCTAATATTATTTAAAATAAAACTAATATGCACACAATGTTAATGCATAAAAACAGAAATTCAGACTACAGTGACAGGGCAACCTGACTCCCCCAGATGTTACAGCAGGGAAAATACAGTGAGAGGTGGACAAAGTAAAGGCAAGCCTCCAATAATTAGGTTCTAGACCTGGAAAATTATAACTAATTTATAGATATTCCATATGTAGAATCTAATTATTGAAGAGATGATTTTATATTCAGGATAATTTTATGCTAAAGTAAATAAAATGTTTCTGCTTAATATATCAATGATTCTACATATGAAAGATAAAATATAAATGACTGTGTCAAAGTTACTAAAAAATACCAGCCAATAAAATGAATATAATCAGAATTTCCTAATGTATAGTCATCTTTGATATAAAGGTATATATCATTCTATTAAATTTTATTGAGAAAGAAGTAATAAACAATTCAGCCCCAAAGTGCATTGTGGAATATCAAAACTTGTTCTGGACTGGCCAGTGTTAGCCAGTCTAGTAAAATAGAAGGCTTGATACCTCAATTTTCCAGTCACCCAGAGATGAAAGTTCAAGGAAACTATAGGCTGACAACTAGATGTTGAAATTTATAGTGAACATATGGTGGAATTTTGATTGATCCAACATAACATACATTTTATGTAACAAAGGACTCTCTCCAGGGAGGCACAAAACATGCAAAACCAGTTGAAGGAAGTCTGTGGTTACAGTCTGGCTATTACTAAACGTTTTGTGTTTAATAGTAAACAATTGCATTTAGCACTTTGGGAGGGATTTGACAGAAAAGTCTGACTCAGCCTGAGTGGAAAAGACAACTTGCTCCAATTATCAACACAGAACTGGAAGCATACAAGAACAACATCAAAAACTGGTTCAGAGAAACTTTGTGTTACTTCGGCAGCCTGAATAGTCCTAAATACAAGATCAAGACTGAGCTCAGATCAAGAAGCAGAGAGTGAAATCTAGCTAATTGTTTACAAGTGTGTAAGAATAGCTTCTTTGTGAACATTTAGATTTGAAGATTTTATTCTCCTGCTTTGAATAGGTTTGTATGAAAAAGTGTGACAATTCATTGCATCAAAACATTGGGGAAATTCATGGTTTTACTCCCATAAAGATAGGATACTTGAATTGAGAACTTTGTCAGTTTTTCAGAAGACTTGTGCTTCTGTCCAGACAGCTCAGAAGCATTTAAATGTGATATTTATCATATTCTGTTGGTTTTCATCAAATAGCATGAGAGGTGCTGAAAATGCAAACAAGTTGGTAAAAGTATATCTGTATCCAAGGGCAGATAAAAATGAATAGTAGGCCTAATAAGCTAATGGACTAGAAATTCACATGTAGTGGAAGGACCTACTGTTTGTTCAAAGATGCTGTGCTGCTAAATTGGTTTCTTGTATGGGTAAATTATATTTAGTAGTCTAAAGTAAATATTAAAACCAAGAACTTACAGACTGGAACAATAGTTTAGTAATATATAGATTAAATTTAGAAACAGTTTCTATACATTTATACACCTTTCCTCCTAACCACGTAGAATGCCAGCTTCATTGTAAATTTGTCTGCTTTTCCTGTAACAGAAACTTCTGGAATGCTCAAATACTAGTATTTATTAGAAGTGCTTTGGACTTCAGGATAAGTCTCTCTTTCTTATTGACAGATTTTTGATGGCCACTCAGATTACATTAATGACTTGGTATTTGCACCTAAAGAAGGTCAGGTGATTGCAAGTGTGGGAGATGATCACACCTGCAGGTATGTATCCTGTGGATAAAGTGACTATGAAATATCAAGTTTACTATTTCTTCATTTTGACTAGAATATCTGAAAACCATAGCAACTGAGAATATTTAAACAAAACTTTGAAATATTTAAAAATAAAAGGGTTTTTTTAATAATATGTTATTACTAAAAATGTCAGTCCGCTGCCTTAAGGAAAGAGATATTAAGTAGCTTGACAATTAATTGTTTCAGTGTTAAGGCACAACCCCTGTCATGTATCTTTCTCTTGTACTTTATCTGATCAAGTCAGATCTTCTTGGTCACATGAAAGGGAAATCTGTCTATTCCTAGACTTACTTAGGCTGAGGAGAGCAGGAGTCCCCAGAGCAGAGCAAACATAGTCAAAGATACTTTCCTCCATCCCCATCTCTGGGTTTATCTTGTGAATTATGTGTACATGTTTGCACACTTAATACTGTGTGGCAGTCTGTGTAACCCTTAAAAGGATCTCACAGCACCCTGCTTGAGAATCATTACTGTACTTCCTCCTTGGGATGACTCAAAGATCAGTTTGAAAGAAAAAGATATTTCAGGTCTAAGCTAAGGAAGCACTCTCAAATAAAACCCATATACACATTCTTACCATGGATTAGATTCTCAAGGACCAAAACCACATATTGGATTATGCAGCTCTAATGGTTCAGTTTAGCAATGAAGATCCTACAAGAGAGGACATTACAAAGAATGAGAGAAAGAGGATCCCATGATGCACAGGGAAGCAGGAGACCAAGCATTTGGGGACCGTGAAGACTTCTGAAAAGGGAAGACTGACAGATCAACTTTGACTTGTATGGTTTAAGTTACTGACATAACAGTTAGTGAATAGATTAAGCAGTCAAATGACAGTCTAACTTTTTTTAAGTAATGTTTCTATTTTTAAGTTGCATATGTTGAATGTCTTTAAAAAGGCAACACCTGAAGGGTGATTATAAAGAGGATGAAGATAGCATTTTCTCTATGACTGCAAGGGACAGAATTAGGAGAAGTGTCCTCAAAACTGCATCAGAGGAAATTTAGGTTGAAAATTGGGAAGTACTTTCTAATTATGAATGTGGTTAAGAATTGAAACAGTCTGCATAGAAAAGTGTGGAATTTCCATCCCTGGAACTTTCTAAGATAAGGTTAGATGGACACGTAACTGAAATTGGTTGAATTGGTTACTACCCATAGAAAAAGTAGAAGTCTTATTTTGGCTAGCAGAAGGTTTCTGTATAACCTCATTTCCATCAAGCCATACAAAAGTCTTCTAATTTTTATAAGAATGAAAAAAATCTAAGATTTACTAAGGGCCTCAGCTGGTTCACTTCCTCTTTAGGTTCTTCTTTGGACTAGTACAGTGTTTCTTCAGAAAAAAAGCTGATTGAATGTTTTAAATAATTAAATGTTATAAAAGACAGAATGTTGCACAGATGAAGAAATTAGTTAAAATGCATTTATTGGTTTGACACTAACAAAATAAAAGAATGTAATGAAAGTTTGCCACTAAAATTGAACTCTACTTGAAAATATAAAGCAGAAACTTTATCCACAAAACTGTAAAGTCTTTGGTCAACAGCCATGGGAAGTAAGCAGGATTTGTTTGGCCACCAGAGTTCTCATTTTTTCCATTCTTGCAAAAGAAATGTGGAGCAGGAAGATGTATTTTTTTAATTGAATATAAAAGTTACACTTCAAAAGCCAAAGGAGAATACATTCCCTTGGATTTACCAAGATCATACTTAATTTACTGTGTAATTTGCTTCTTCAACAAAAATGTGAGAAGAGAAACAATTTTTATGGCTGTAAATTTCTCTTAAGACATCTGTTAATAGTTTTGATATGCAATACTAGAACAACCTGTACAAGAACACAAACTTCCCAGTATTTGAGGGTGTTGTCCTTACATTGCTAGATTTCACCATTACTAACAGTGGTTTTACTGTATTAGCCATAAGTGAGTTAAATCACTTTCAATGTACAGCTGTTACAAAAAAATGTAGAAATATCTCTGAATTTTCCCTAGTCACCTCTCTACTACAGTAGAATTAGTGAAGATTTAAAGAAAGTAGATAAATCTGAGAGGTACATATTTCGTGCATTAAAAGAACTATTGGTATGTTACCTCAACATGACATTTTATTGTGGAACCTACTTGGTTCCATCACTTGGATGAAAGGCTTCCAATAAAAGCCTAGGTGCAAAGGCTCCATTCAGAGGTGTTCTCCCTTGTGAATCAGTGCTTCATAAGTCTTCTAGTTCAGCAGTTCTCACTACTACATAGAAAGCTAGCTGGTCACTTAATAAAGATTTCTCCTTAATTCCAGTTGCAAAATTTAAATTAAAGAGTTAAAATATTCTTTCCATGTGAGCAACTGCATTAGTCATCGCAGAGATGTAATGGAAAAGAAAATGGTATGTGCAGTTAGTTTGGAGGAGAGGCATCAGTGAGATCATTCTTGTATTAAATATGTTCTATGTGATGTTATTTTAAGAATCCATGCTAAGTATAGTTTTAATATGTTATTCTGAAAGTGCCATTTGTCAGCTGATGGCAAACCTGCCTTGGCCATTCAAGTCGTTAATGATATCAAAGGTGCAAGTCATCTTACTTAACATTGCACCTGCAGATTCAAGAGAGAGAAAAAAAACTTTTTTTCCTGCACTGATGTATAACTAAGTATTAATGCTAAAGCTGAATTTCAAATATTAAAAAAAGGGCTGGCTACTAGTACAAGACCTGAAAATCTGCTTGAAATTCCTCTCTCCAGTACCCTTAACAGTCACTGGGGGGCTATCACTGGTAGAAGGGCTGCAGTTAGTAGATCCGGGTGTCTGTCAGATGCTTCTGTGGACTCACAGCATGCAAGTCAAAAGTGGATATGTGTCCTTTCCTACTGCACTATCTGCAGTAACTCTCCACCACCCGTATTTCTGGATTATGGTATTAGGAGTTGACTAGAATATGGGTGATCAACCCGGGTCTTGACACTAAAGAGGCAGGAGCACTCTTCGGAAGCAAGGATCCCAACACAGTCACAAGCCAGAGGATTGGGAGCAGACAGAGCCAGGAGCCAAAAGCCAGAAGCAGGTGTCCAGACTGGAACCACAAGCCAGGGGGTCAGGAGCCACCAAGTTAGGAAGTAGGGGTCAGCAGTCAGGAACCAACCAGCAGGAACAAGGGTTCAGGCATATGAGCCAACGAGAAAGGCATCTGTCCCCTGGGTACTGAAAGGGTTGTAAGCGGGCAATCATTCCTGTGCAGGTAACCAGAGCCAGTTTGGGGCTAATTGGCTAGCCTGCCTGTTGTCCCAACTCCTCTGACATGTGGGAAAGTTATATAGTTGTCTCATTACCCTGGTTTTTGTGTGTGTGTAATTTTGCTTTGCTACCAATTGTATAACTATTCATATCCTTTCAGTTTAGAGTACTCATGCCATAGTGCAAATTGTTTTATGGACACACACAGAAATTTTCCTGCAGGTCATAATTGGATTCAGTCTTCTTTGTTTCACATGACCACACGTTTTGCTAGTGTATGTGACCTCGGGGTTAAATTAGCTTCCTAGGTGGAGATAGTGGGGAGGAGATTTGACATTCGAAATTGGATTAACTAGAATGCCAAAACTTAAGGCAGGGGCTAGTAGTTTTTCATAGGGTGTGGACAGGAAACGTTTGAAGCATTTCATATGTTTGAAATGCTTCAAAGGGCAAGGGGACACATGTTCATAGATTCATAGATTTTAAGGTTGGAAGGGACCTATCGAGACCGACCCCCTGCCCTGGGCAGGAAAGAGTGTTGAGGTCAAGTGACCCCAGCCAGGTGTTTGTCCAATCTCCTCTTAAATACTTCCAAGGACGGGGGCAGCACCACCTCCTTTGGAAGCATATTCACTATTTTGGCAGCCTTCACTGTAAATAATTTTTTCCTGGTGTGTCCAATCTGAATTTGCCCTCCTTCAATTTGTGGCCATTGCTTCTAGTTACCCCAATGGGCGCCCTGGTAAACATTGTATACCCTATTTCCTGCTGTCACCCTACCCCCCCCCCCCCAAATGAGCTTGTAGACGGCTACAAGATCACCTCTCAGCTTTCTCTTATGGAGGCTGAAGAGATTCAGGTCCCTCAGTTGGTCTCGCAGGGTTTTTCGTGTACTCATAGGGTTTTTTGTGTAGTCCTTTAACCAAATGGGTGGCCCTCCTCTGAACCCTTTCCAGGTTATCTACATCCCTCTTGAAGTGCAGCACTTCTGATGTTCTTCAAGGTGTTTTGAAAATGGTGGAAGCACTCTCAAAATAACCCTGAAGAAAGCAAGTACTATGTTTAGAAGCACAGTGGGGAAGACTGTCAGTAAGTTCTCTCCTATGTACTCCACCTCAGCTCTCCCACAGTGCCCCTCTCTTCCCCAGAATCAGGAGGGCACAGGTTCCTCACCTCCCAGTTCTGGTGGGGGAGTGCTCTGGGTAAACAGGATGTACAAGATAATGGTCACTGATGGTTAGCTCTGTTCCCCTCCCCCTCTCCTTCCCCACCCTGTTGTTTGGGGGGCAGGGAGTAGAGCCACAGGTTGCAGCAGCCCTTGGGAGACTCCAGAAGTTACAAGAACCAAAATAAAAGCTAGCTAAGAATGACTCTGCATGACTATCATCTTCCCTCGGCCTTCCAGTTGTTTGTTCTTTAAAACACTGCCAAGACTTGTTCCTGGGTGACATCTTGTTTTTTTAATTCAATAAATGATACAGTCTTTGGATAGCAGTGCCAAAAATCATTCTGTCCTCATTTGCTCCTGCCTCCAGCAATATTTAACATCTGTCACCGTTCCCTTTGTTGCACTTGCATTAAGATTATTGTTTAGCCAAGAATTAAAACTTTTTATGTTCCTGTTATTTTGTCTTTGGCCTGTTTGTTGTGGCAAGACACCTACTCTAGTGTTTAATGTGTCCAGGTCGTAACAAACATTTCTTTTTTTAATGATTAAGACTTTTCAAATGCAAGAC